AGGCTGAGGCAGGAGAATTGCCTGAACCCAGGAGGCAGAGGTTGCGGTGAGCCAAGATCGCGCCATTGCACTCCAGCCTGGGTAACAAGAGCGAAACTCCGTCCCAAAAAAAAAAAAAATAAAATAAAAATTTATAAATCAATAAAAGGAAGGGTACTTCTTTTCATTTAGCTCTTGAAACATCATGTGAACGTGTGATGGGGGCAAAATGATGCCTTCTTATGAGTTAGAAAATTTTATTGTTAATGCAAATAGTGGTGTCACATCAAATAAGTCACATTGTTTATGTTGGTTCTGCATTAAAACACAAGACACACCTCTTTTTTTCCTGTCATCTTTTGAAAAAGTCATTAATGAGAACCTATATATTGTAAGAAAAGGTTAAATGCTTAAAGTTACTTTGAATTAAGTAGTCAGGAAGCAAACACGTGGTTACCAGAAGCTAGAATGGAGAAAGCAACTTTCTGTGTAGTCTGGTACAATAGGAGGGTACCTTTCTTTTTTGGACTAGCCAAGACCTAATCTTGTCCTACCGTAGGTAAAAAAGTCTTTCCTTTTTATGTTTTATAAGTATTTGCTCTAAGTTGTTGGTTTGTGGTAGCCAAGCTAACAAAGACTTTGGGAAAAAAGTATTCAGGTGCTAGAATAATACCTGGTGTTTGCTGGCTCTCTGTAAATCCTGCCCACGTTTAGGTTTGTCTGCAGCTGTTAGTACCTAATATCAAGATTTCTTCATAGTAAAGGTATTCTGAACCTTTTTGGGAGCATAAGAACATTTCTTACCACACACAGTGTGGCTCACACCTGTAATCCCAGCACTTCGGGAGGCTGAGGCGGGCAGATTGCCTGAGCTCTGGCATTCAAGACCAGCCTGGACAACATGGTGAAACTCTGTCTCTACAAAAAAGTACTAAAATTAACCAGGCATGGTGACATGTGTCTGTGGTCCTGGCTACTTGGGAGGTTGAGATGGGAGGATTGCTTGAGCCCAGGAGGTCGAGGCTGCAGTGAGCTGTGATGGTACCACTGCATTGCAGCCTGGAAGACAGAGTGAGATATCCTGTCTTTTTTTTTTTTTTTTTTTTTTTGAGACGGAGTTTCGCTGTTGTTGCCCAGACTGGAGTGCAATGGCGCGTTTATTTTAAGGATCAGGTTCTTGATATTCAGTCCAGGCATGCCAAACAACTGTTATTTCTAACTCTGTTTATGAAATAAGGCTATTAGAAACTGAGAATTTTAAAGATTTGTATTAGTTACTGTGGTTTGCAAACAGGGTCTGGACCTGTAATGGAGTTTTCAAATCAGTTTAATGGGTCTGACTAGCCTTAAAACAAATGAAGTAGACCAGAGTAGAAAAGAAATTATGTATCACAAAATACCTGGTTAAGTATTTGGTGAAACTTTAAGTGTGTGTATTTATGTATATATATGCATGGATGTATACATTCATAAATGTTTTTATTGGATTGCAATGCAAATATATTTCTTTTCTTTTTTTTTTTTTTTT